ACTTACCAACTTGGACGAGAGAAGTACTCTTATCTTCTTACCTAAATTCTTGTATTTTATTGCCTATTCTTTTTGCACTAACGTTTTCCCAACTCTATACCTCGTATAATTGGTACCAAACATTATTTCCATAAGAATCCACTAGTTTTTAAGAAGGCAACCATTTTCTTGCATGGATCATTAGACTCAACCCTTGTCCTAAACATAAATCGTGGTCGTTTCTTGTCTTTATCCCATGGTTCAAATGTCCTTAGCACTGTAATAAGATCAGGAAGTTTAATGTTACCCTCATAAACTTGTATTGCATAACCCCAAGCCACTGAAATAGATAGTGAATTGTTTCGGTCGTAGCAAATAGTTTGTTGTGATATTCTTGTAGGATCAGCATTAGCAGCTTTGAATAAATGTTTCAGAGCTTGAATTTTTGTCATGTTGGGGAATATTGATTGCATTCTTTCTACATGATGAAGAGATATTAATGGTGATAATGGATGCGATGAAAGCAATCCAAATAAATTTCCCCATAAATCATCCTGCTAAAAAGATGATCATATTAGAAATAATGTTAATTAGCTAGTGGATTAGAAAGGAAAATAGATTTAGATTTTGGTCACTACCGTGTCAAAAAGGTAGTCCGGTACACAAAATATTCCGTCGTTTATACAGGATTTGGGAAAAAACCGCATCGGATAAAATTTATATAATTAGCTAATAGCGAAATCTAGCCCCCCCCCTTTTTTTTTTCTTTTCATTAGTGAAGAAAACAATTCTTGAAGTCGAGTTAATACATGTATTTTTCCAATTTCATTTACTCTGCTAGATCAAATCATTAAATTAAAGAGCAGGTGGTTTAAGTCAAATCTTGAAGCCTGTCCCTATTAATAGCTACTTTGTATATACATTTAATGCATCCTCTTTCAAGTGTTAAGCCGAGAAACTTTTCATAAGTACCTAAGTGCCAAGATAATTATTGACGAAGAAACAATAATAACAACTCAATCCCAAATTAATTGGGATTAGTTATATGAATCATTCACACTTATATTTCGCTTCATTCCCGAGAAACTGTTAATGAAACAAGATGTACCGAATTTCAATATCACTATCTCTTCAACTTTAAACACGTTGACATAGTAGGATTATCTAGAGGCGGGATCAAGAATTGAAACTTATGTATTTTAGTTCTTTTGAGTTACCGAGTTTTAATTTAATAATTCATACATATTAATTAAATGAATAAACATAACGTAATCAGAACCAAAATTATTGGGTTCTACCAGCCCGCTTCCTCCTGTACTCTAATTCCGCTCTTGTATCTAGAGAAATTAAATGGGAGGAAGAACGAAGTATCATAAAATTCCAAAGTTGATAACTAATACAGTAACTACAAGAGAGTAACAATATTAAAATTTTACTTACTTGGTGAAAACCAGGTTCATGTGTTAAACTTACACCAAGTTCTGCCAAGCAAGAGAAAATCCTAGCATCAGAACCATAGAGATTTGGGTAACGCACCAAACAAGAATCCAAAACCCCAGCTAAAGCCTTAGCCAAAGGTCGACTTATCGCATATCCGCCACCACCAAATGCCATATCAAAAGAAAAATAAGCGTTTTGAACATAGCTCTCTGAATTAGACCCTATATAATACCATTCATTATGATCATATTTTTCTAGTGTCTTCAACAAATTATCGACGAAAAACACTGTATCGTCATCTCCAAAAATGTACCATCGCACGTTAGGATCGTTACATGCGATGACTTGTTTTATCATGCACGTTAGGCCAAGGGCATAACGTGCTCCAGTACGATGGGTATATGGGAAATGAGAAGTGTTTTCATAAATTAGAATTGGTGGAAGATCGATGTTTTTCAGAGAATTATCCGATGGAGGGTGGTCTAAAAATACATAAGCTATGGTAAAATTAGGTTTGTACCATAGACGGAGGAGCTCTTTGCGTTTGGAAAAGGTTTTAGAGGAAGAAGCAATTGAGAAAATAAGGTGGTTAACGGTGGTCGGAGAGTTTTTGTTGGTGGCGGCTGTGATGGCGGAGGAGAATGAGGTTAATTTTTGGAAAATGGAGGTAGAACGATGGTAGTTTAGAGAAAGAAAAAAGAATGAGAAAAAGGTGAGTATTAAGCAAATGTCTTTGAAGCAAAATGGGGTTTTGGAAAACATTTTTTTATTTGATTAGAGAGGTTTAGTGAATCAAAATGACTTTGTTCAGGTTAAAATGTATTTTTGAATCATTATAGAGGAGACCTGGTGATTGGTGAGTCTTAGACTGGATTTTTGTGAGAAGAAATGAAAGCTTTTGAAAATTAATACTAATATTTACTCTATTAGTATACTTTACTAACAAAAACAAACATAACAAACTTTGTCTGATTAGTCAACCTGTAAAGAGATGTTATTCTTGTTTTACATGGAGACCTTTTAAATGCAATATAATCCATGGCTACATGCTACAACAGTAAATGTTATTAACCTCATATATAAAGAAGAATAATTGAAGATCTAAATGTCTACACTGCTCTAACTTTCAAAATTCAATGTAATGTTCTGCCACCTAGCTCAGTTTAATTCACATTTTACGCTGTAAAGTTAGCATACGCGTAAAGTTACTTTTTTGTTTAAAACATAAAAATTAATTGATCAAACTTACATGAACAAACGAAAACCATTTGTCACGACCCGACCGGTCGTTTTGAGCATTTGCATTTCGCTCGCTAATTCTCGGGCATGACTAGACCCGTATGATGTATTATGACTTATGTAAATCATTGGTTTTGGTTTTCAGGATGATCGGAATAGATTTGGAAGAACAATTCTCAGTTTGAAGCTTTAAATTTGAAAGGTTTGACCAAGTTTTGACTTTTTAGTATATGATCTCGGATTTGGATTTTTATGATTTGGTGTCACGACCCGAATTTTTTCCACCCTCGAGGGTCGTGATGGCGCCTACTAATAGGAGCTAGGCAAGCCAACTTAATTAGAAATTTCATTAAACACCTGTTCCTTTTTAACAATTAACCGCATTAAATAAAGGCGACGAATTAAATCATAAGCGGAAGACTTAAATGTAGATAGATGATCAATAATACAGAAGTTCCAACACATATATCTCTACCCCGGGACTGGAGTCACATACTCACGAACATCTAAGGAGTACTACATACAAAGTCTGAAAGAAACATAATCTGTTTATCTCGAGTACAATGAGATGACAGCCAAAGGTAAAGATAGAAGGGAGACGCCGGGCCTGCGGATGCCTGCAAGCTACCTCGGGTCTCTCTGGACTGAAGGTTCGCCCCCGTGCTAATGCTGTTGCTGCTGCTCAATACCTGGACCTGTGCAAAAATGCACAGAGTGTAGCATCAGCACAACCAACCCCATGTGCTGGTAAGTGCCTAGCCTAACCCCGACGAAGTAGTGACGAGGCTAGACTGGACCTCACATAAACCTGTGCAATTATAAATATACAGCAGAAATCGAAGTACAAGGCAACTATAATATGGGGGGGGGGGGACATGCTGTGGGGAGATAACAATATTAACAGTAAATCCAAAGTAATCAATCTAGGTGCAATTTAAAATTTAAGGCGAACAAGAAACTAATACCAACACTAAACACATTTGCATCAACAACTGTTGCGGCGCGCAACCCGACCCTAATACATTTCAACATTGTTGCGGCGTGCAACCCGACCCACAATTATCCCTGTTGCAGCGTGCAACCCGATCCACAATTATCACTGTTGCGGCGTGCAACCCGACCCACAATTATCACTGTTGCGGCGTGCAACCCGATCCACAATTATCACTGTTGCGGCGTGCAACCCGATCCACAATTATCACTGTTGCGGCGTGCAATCCGATCCACAATGTCTACCTCTCAATCTTGCCCAAGCAACAGTCACAAATAAAAGGTAGGGAGTGAACAAGTATTTGGAAGGAAATCCCGACAAGGGTAAACAAACAACCAATAACAACCATGCAAGAGTAAATCGTTATTTCTCTTTTTCTTTCATTTTCATGTCCTAGTTCTCATTAGCACTCGTGTCAAGCGCTAAGGCATTTCTCATTTCATATGCTCTCACCATTTGTATTTCGGACCGAGCCAATGCTCCACGAAGTTCCACAATCACAATATCTTTCACAAGGTGTTTACAACGCATAGAAGCCATCAATAAAGCATGGAAGGCATAAAAATATCCAAACAATCCTCATATAAGGACTCACGGTCATGTTAGACCCCAATGTATAGGAACTCGTCACCATGCCTATACATCGTACTCGATCATTTAGCCATTAGCAAACAAGACTCGACTCCTATTCCCTCAAGCTAGGGTTAAACCAATCACTTACCTCAACTTCCACGGCCAATACAATCCTCCACAATCGCTTTCCCTCTTGAATTCGGCTCCAACTCGACCAAATCTATGCAATAAGGACTTCATGTTATCAATGTGTGCTAAACAAATCAAACCCAATGACTAATTATAGCTTTTTC